AGATTAAATAATCAGAAGAGGACATACCAAATTCATTAGCAATTGAACAATGCTTGAAGGATTCATTCTCACCAAACCAATTTCTCTTGAAGCTTCAGAACTAACAGGTTTAGGTCCAACTTCTTTTGGCTTATATTGACTTCCTATTGAAAATTCAGAATTGTTCATGTCCAAGCTTGGCAGAGACTGAGATTCTCTAACCTCAACCATTTTCACTATCTCCATTAATGTGTTATTCATATCCCCAAACTCCCTCATGTACTCAATATCACTAAGAATCTCCGTGTTGCTCGCTGTGTCAACTTTCCATAGAGGCGCTCTAGCAAAAGCCAATTTTACAAGCTCTTCCATTGCCTTCGAAGCAAGCTCGGAGATTCTAAGTCGGTTAATTTCTGTGCCTAATGAAACTGACATAATCAGGTCACTGGCTCTTTGATTATTGAACCCACCAAGTGTTTCTGTCCCAAAATCTGAGAGGGGCACTTGTGGTGAGGAGCCTTGAGGGGACGCAGTGAGCCGAGGCATGCCCATATGATCTGAATTGTATTGTAGGTTGCTATCTATCTGAAAATTAGCCAAAACGATGAAAGATTGAGTTAAATGAAAAATTCAAATTAAACTCGAACATCAGAATTAAGATTGAGCTAGGTTAACATGACACGAAATCAAAGCAGATCAAGATGATTTTAGATACATAGGTTTATGAGACTCAAAATTCTTCATATCCGATAATCCCAAGTACAAAAACAAAGCAAAATATAACAAATAAAAAAATTGCCCACAAATATATAAAAATCATAAAATTTAGTTCAAGTCACATAAGCCCCATTTTTTTGTTGGTAATTTTACATTTTTTTAATTAAAAAAACTGGTAATTTTACTTAATTACCTTTAAATCAACCCAGAGCTCTAACCCTGATTCACAGTAAAGTTGTATCTTGTTAATCGCACTACCTGAAGCTGCGGACACTCCCACGAATCTGAAGAAAACAAAAACCCTAAAGCCATTAGATTCATGATGAGGATGACATCAAAGTAAAACCCCAAAAGATTGTAACCAAAAAAAAACCCCTCGATAAAAAAGTGATCACCAAGAGAAAGACAAGCAATGCATGTGTATATACACATTTGAATATCTAGATTTTTGCAAAGAACTTACTTCTCTACATGTTGGAGCTCATGATTTGATGTTTCTCCATCAAAATTCTCAGAATAATTCATGTTTGTTAGATAATCGTTTGCTTCAGTGCTCGAAACATGAGTGTGGCTGGTCATTCCTCTTCCTGCCATTTTCAGCTGTGACATGCATACACCAAAAAAAACCACCATGTCAAACTAACCCATATGATTATATATCTGAAAAAAAAAAAATTTGAAAAAATTTACTTTATGAAGCGGGGTTCGAAAAATATGCAAGAACTGATTAGGGTGAAGGAAATGTAATGCTTGGAGATGATGATGGTGAGTGAAACTGTGTAGATCTGTTTTGGGGCTTTCAAGGAGGTTTAGGTTTTGTGATGTGGAGACTGGACTTCCGGGGACACTGCCAGGTATGGAAGCTAATTATGCCCAAGTGGAAAGCTGACGTGGCTGAATGCTTTACTCTGATTGGTTAGGGTTTTGGAGGAAAGGGTTTGCTGTCACTCATTCAGTTCCTTCTCTATATCTTTATGAGAGTGCGGGCCTCAGGTGCAAATTGATAATTGTAAGACCTAATTTTAAGTGGAAAATTAATTAGATGTTTTTGCCGAACAATTAAATGGAAGAAATTAATTAGGGAAGTCGATGTCTTGTTAGATTTTATTATATTTTCCTCTAAATTTACAACATCAAAATCACATAATGGATAAGGGTTGAACATCAAATTACGAATTAAAATAAGTGATAACATTTGAATGATATGATGCATGGTGTCTGGATTATCTTCATGTATACTCAATTCGTTAATTCATACAACAAAACAAGTGTTAAGTACAACTTGGTCTCTAGTTCCTCATGAACTTGTAACATAATAATCTCACGTCGATCCCTCTTTGTTAGTTATTTTGTCTAACTCCTTATCATCAATCACTCATAAACCGACCGTACACATTAACCAAGTACTAAATTGACACACATAATAACTTGGGTACTCAATGGAAGTGCGAGTCAAAGTTCAAGTACCAAATTTGAAAACAAAATAATACTATAGACTCAAATAATGGTGAGGTGAGATCAATTATAAACTTTGAGAGTTCCTTTGAATCAAGTTCTGGTAGTTTAGACTGATTACCAACTCACTTCTTTTCAAATATGCAGCAACATAATCCTTCCTTCTTTATTAATGGAGCTGCATGAGGAGGAGGACCAATCTATCACTTTTTATTTTTGAGAAATTGAGGTATAAACTCTAAACCTTGGGGATTTTTATGAAATTGGTACTCTGAAAATGTGTGTTTGAGGATCTTTTGAGCCATTTAGTTCACCCATAGTCTCCATAGGGTCTGTTTTAAATAGTGAGCACCAAGTGTTTGAAGAAATGTCTTAAAGACACATTGGTGGGTGTATAACTGGTTTTTATCTGTTTTTGTCTTCTGAGTTGTGCTTTGAGTTTTATCCTAAGCTTTTGATACATCAAATTGGACATGTCAGAGATTGTCTCAAATACTTTGGTGTAATGTCAAACATAAAGACTATGCTGCATGAATTCTGCAGTATGCTTTGCAGCATAACCCGTTTTAAATATGTTTTCAGACTTCCGTTACTTCGAGTTACATATGGAATTTCAGTCTGTTATATTTTTTAAAAAAAAATTTCCAACTACAAGTTGAAAGACAATTGGACATGAACTGAAATTTCCTGCATTTTTAAAGTGAGAATAATGTTGTAGGGATTTTGCAGAACTTTGCAATACAGCTTATTTCAGCCCTATTTTTGATATACTTGTAAGAGTTAAAATTGCATGAAATTTTGGGAAATGTTAGTTTCACATGTTTTCTTTGAACCTGTAATT